GCAGTACTGGAAACAGCATTTATTAGAAAGTTAGACAAAAAAAATGCCCGTCTCGATCAATCGCACATCCATAATGTTTGTATGTTGATACGCTTGTAAATAACATTAACGTAAAAGTCGAAACAACCTGGACTAGAAGTCAATTCACCAGTCCAGCCAACTATGGCTCCCTAAGTTGTTTATATTAAATCAGATACTATTTCGTCATCATGCTTTGTTACCTTTCCTGTTTATACCTCGTTAGGGCGTTTTTATGGCAAGATGGCGCAAACGGAAGTTCTTCGCAGGTTTATGGTTTCTCATATTTAAATCATCATAACTCTGAAGATAATCATTTTTTTTCATTTTTTTTTTCAAATTTATAATTAATATACATAACTTGGTAAATACAAACACCAAATTAGGCTCTATTTAGTTCCCCTTTAAGAATATTAAATAGCATATATAGCATGCAGCCCAAAACTATAAGTACAATAATCTTATATGGTTACTTCATTGTGAATCTGAAAGTGAAACAAAATAAAACAATTTAATGTGTTATGTACTATTCTTAGACAAATCAAAAAACAACTGCAATGAATCTATGTATAGTAACCCACATGTTACATAGGGGACCGTGTAGCCTAGCATCCCCTCTACCCCTCCCACCTCCAAACCAAGTCACATCAATCTTGATATGGAAACAAACTTTAACGTTGGAAAAAGTTAAGTATGAATTAGGTATAATATTTCAAAGGATTAACAAATCTACTTCTCAAAACACAATGCGATATAGCAAATCAATAGCAATTATTTTAAACTTGAATTTTGAAATAAAATCAGAAAAATTACATATATATGGCTATTTTCAGGGTGCGGATGCTCCATCCCAATTTACCTCAAAGTATATTTTGATATATTCTGGGACCATAATGTCGAGCCTACTCAAAAACATGTGATATTTGTTTTTTGAAACATGTCTATTAATTATTAATGTAAATGAATAGTATTATAATTAGCTTATGTCATAGTATATACCTGGGTGAAAACTCATCCATATCAACTATGTAATACGAAGATGTAATATACGACTGCTCGTGAGTTCTTTGCCTTTGGTTATAGACCGAATTACAATTACAAACATGTTCCAATGACAATAAAAGTAAAATAAATCAATAAAAAATAAAATAAAAAACAAATAAAAGACAATAAAAGAGTGAAAATTTATTTTAAAAAAACGATGAAAATGGTTATAATTCCGCTGATTTCGAAACACGAACGACGCTTAGACAAGACGCATAATTGACACACGATTCGTAAGCTAAATTCGGTAAAATTTCTTCTTTGTTTTGACTGTTCGATTATGATAAAACCGTCATCACCTCTAAGTATTTGTTTGTGGAGCTGGTTGATGTCATGAGCTGTATTATTCACTCACCTTTGGTTCGCACCAAATAATAGTGGCCCATACAAACATTGTATTGAATTTAAAATGGCCAACAAGTGGCCACGTAAGTACTATTCTTATACGTTGTGTTATTTTGTGATTTTATCAAATTTGTTGAAGCATTGGCTATTTTACTGTGAACGTGCTTAGAGATATTTCTTGAAGATGAAAAAATCTTTAACATCATTTCAAGTAACACTGCAAAGTAACACAAATCGACCAATGTTGTCGCGTAGTGCACTTCAGTGATGTCGCTAAAACTAAATCAAAAACAAATGTTGAACAAATTTATAAAAGACTTGATGACAACTTAACATTTTAGTCTCACAATTCAATATTTGTCGAGACATTTATTTTCTTATATTTTACAACCTGAAATAGTGGAAATTAATCAAAAGAAAATCGTTTAGGGTCCGATTTGATGATAGTGACTGCCACAGAGAACGAACGTGTCTAGGTAGTAGGGTTTGGGTCGAATCCGGTAAGGTTTGCGCAAGTGGCAAACACCTAATTGGCAGTATTATCTGTATAAAAAGTAAATCTCTATATCGATAAAATTATTACATATACAATTTATATATATACTAGTAGCTTCGCGGTAAGTGGCTTTCGCGGTAAGTGGGTTTTGTTTTGGGTGGGTCTCGCGGGGAGTAGGGCTTTGTCGCAGTAACTGGTCCTTTCATCGTTGTTGAGAATTAAAGTTTTATGTTTCTTTAATAACTTGCGCTATTCTGGGAATACCATCCTTAAAAGCTATTAATTTGCCCTCATGATTTGTGCAGTTGCTCTGGCCGGAGATCCAAAATAAGACCCATGCTCTGATAATGCCCATAGTTTCAAAGACCAAGAATCACTATCATTATGATCTTATTGGTGTTGCAAAGAATAGTTGAATATTGTTTATTAAAATTAATAATCCCCATAACCGTTTTCCAATATAGATAAATTATAGTACGTAACAAATATATAACTCAGTCTCAACAATGAAATAAAGAAATATATATATATATATATATATATATATATATATATATATATATATATATATATATATATATATATATATATATATATATATACAATACAACTAATTCAAATTGCAAGAAATTGCAATATAAAATATTCCGTCAGTAACACTTCTCAAGGGCGTATTTCACGGTCAGTGTTATTTACGAAAATATTGGTTTATAATTTTATAAATTTGCTTGGCAATTCCCGCCCCAATTAGATATAATGTGTACATATTTTAATAAATAAAAATGAAATATTAATTATTTCATATTTTATTATAGAACCTGCACAAAAGTAATCAATATTTTTCCTTGCTAGAATGATGTGTAACTTCATATGGGAACCCTGATAAAGTTCACAGCTGGCGATTTAGCAATACCCGTATCAGGGATAGTCAACTTCTTGTGAAATTGATTACCTAACGTTTTTAGGTTCATGTGCTACAAGTTACAGAGCACATACCTAAGCGGCCGTTCCTTAGCAAACAATTAAGCCAAGGCATTTTTGATGTCGAAATCGCGAAATTCTCCGTTTTTACGCAATCTGGGAAGTTCGAATTACTAAATGAAGTATAGGACAATGAAGCTGAAATACCCAAGAACCAACACATACCAACAATTATATCTCAAAAGTGAATATTTGTGGTGTATTTTAAGTCTAACCATGGAGGTATAAACCTGGAGGTATAAACTTCCATGGTCTAACCGAACCGGAAGTGGAAATTTGTTAGTACTCTAAATATCTAAACATATTTTAGTATATGGTAGTAACAATTTGTCAATGATTATTTGTAAGCATGAGATTGTTATGTTAATTTCGTTCATTCATGGAATACTGTGTGATGACGCTATCTTCAGGGCCTAGCTGATTGAGACTTCTATTGGCGATCCGCTCCGCTAGGATTGCCATTAAAATCACTTGTGTGTGTGTGATTTCCAGTGTTTTCACGTATTAATTCTTCTGTTTTTGTATTAATTCTTTTTTTTTTTTGGCTTAGCCGATTTCCCTAAAACTTGGCAGGTAGGTCACACCTTCACCCTAGTTATTAGGAAATATCTGGAAAAAAAATTGGCCTACCGTTGCCATAGCAATAGCCAAAAAACTGATTTTTGGATAGCTTTGCGCCAAATATATCTCCTCATACAAATTTGAGATAAAACGCCTCAGACATAGCTCATTCTACTCAGCTTGAGTGTGGGCACAAAGTTACTATTTGAATTGTTGATATCTTTTTTCATTACAGAGAAATTTGACCCCAAATTTGGGGTAACTGTTCATCAGGAATTGCTTTTTAACTCTTCTGTTATTTTTTTGGCTGAGCCGACTTGGTTCAAACTTGGCAGGCAAGTCACACCTTCATTCTAGTTAGGTTGTAAAATCTGAAAACAAATTCAGGCCCACCGTTTTTATAGCAACATCCAAAAAACAGATTTTTTTAATACATTTGCGCCAAATGTATCTCACCCTACATTTCTAGGATTAAAATGCACGGACATAGCTCACTCTACTCAGCTTGAGTGTGGGCATAAATTTACTGTTTTTTTATGTATATTTTCATGAGAGAGAAAATTAACCTGAAAGTTTGGGTAACTTTTCACCGGCAACTGCTTTTAACTGCTCTGTGATTTTTTTCTTGGCTTGGCTGATTTTGTCCATACTTGACAGGCAGGTCGTACCGTCACTAATTGAAACCAAATTGGCCCACTGCTGCCATGGCAACAGCCAAAAACTGATTTTTGAATACTTTCGCCCAAATTTATTACCTTATTACCTCCTACCAGTCTTGTAAGAGCAATGTTCAAATGATCATGCTTTTTATTTTGGCTACGTTGCGCACTGGATAAGAGATCACTGGCGCCGACATTGTTACACTGTATCAACGTAATCCCAACGCAACTTGAAACTTTGAATGAACTGTAAATGCTGCCTTCAATCTAGAAAATACTATCGCAAAACGGTTGGAAATAATAAATTTAACAACAGAATACGTCCTAACAATAAAATAAAGTAACTTCTAAAGACTGAATGTTTGTTTTTTTGCGAACTTCGTATACGTGATTCGGTTTTAGTTATAAACCAACGTTATCTTCACGTTCATGTCCTACCATAGAAACAGCCAAAAACATGTTGCTTGTTTTTTGAGAGGAGCGGATGCCAACCAGCCTACCGGTTTGTTTGAATACTTTCGCCCCAAATTTATTACCTCCTACCAGTTTTGTAATAGCAGTGTTCAAATGATCATGCTTTTTATTTTGAATACGTCGTGCACTGGTAAGATACCACTGGCGCCGACATTGTTACACTGTATCAACGTATTCCCAACGCAACTATGAACTTTGAATGAACTGTAAATGCTGCCTTCAATCTAGAAAATACTATCGCAAAACGGTTGGAAATAATAAATTTAACAACAGAATACGTCCTAACAATAAAATAAAGTAACTTCTAAAGACTGAATGTTTGTTTTTTTGCGAACTTCGTGATTCGGTTTTAGTTATAAACCGACGTTATCTTCACGTTCATTTCCTGCCATAGAAACAGCCGAAAACATGTTGCTTGTTTTTTGAGAGGAGCGGATGCCAACCAGCCTATCGGTTTGTTTGAATACTTTCGCCCCAAATTTATTACCTCCTACCAGTTTTGTAATAGCAGTGTTCAAATGATCATGCTTTTTATTTCGGCTACTTTGCGGACTGGTAAGATACCACTGGCGCCGACATTGTTACACTGTATCAACGTAATCCCAACGCAACTTTGAACTTTAAATGAACTGTAAATGCTGCTTTCATTCTAGAAAATACTATCACAAAACGGTTGGAAATATTAAATGTAACAACAGAATACGTCCTAGTTATAAACTAAGTGACTTCTAAAGACTGAATGGTTTTTGTGAACATCGTATACGGGGCCCATTTAGTTATAAACTGATGTTAGCTTCACGTTCATGTCCTACCATGGAAACATCCAAAAACATGTAGCTTGTTTTTTGAGCGGAGCGGATCGCCAACCAGCCTACCGGCTTGTATTGACTATGTCCCGGACTGTTTACTAGTACTTACTTACTTG